CTTAGTACTTGGTGATATGGCTAGTTTTGTTTCATGCTTTTCTCAACTTAATGTGAATTTTATTTACGTGATTATCTAAGAAGACATGAAAATGGACAGTCGTTACATTTCAAGAAATAAAATAATTTCATGGATATAAATGTTAAAGATGTTCAAAGTAAATGTTTTATTTTTTCTACTTTTTTTTTGTTGTTGTTTGGGATTCATTGAGAGTACAAAGAATTATGTTACACCAGAGGTCCTCAAACTTTTTAAACAGGGGGCCAGTTCACTGTCCCTCAGACCGTTGGAGGGCTGGAATGCAGGCCCCAGGACGAGTTGGCTGCTAAGCAGGACAGGCAGCAGCGGCAAAAACACCCAGCAGGCCAGATAAATGTCCTAGGCAGGCTGCATATGGCCCGCAGGCCGTAGTTTGAGGACGCCTGGGTTACACTCATTGCATTTGTTCGGTAACGTCCCTCTTGTAATTGTGTCCCACTCTCAAGAAGTGTGCCATACACTGTGACCCCTCATCCCCCATCCTTTTCCTCTCTCCCCAGTCCCTCATTCTCTTACCCCCCAACCTTGTATTAAGTCATCCACTGCCTTCAAATTAGAATTCAGTACATTGGATTCTTGCTTCTTCATTCTTGTGATGCTTTACTGAGAAAAATGTGTTCCACTTCCATCCAGGTTAATATAAAATATGTGAAATCTCCATCTTTTTGATGGCTAAATAGTATTCCTTGGTATACATATACCACAGCTTGTTAATCCCTTCCTGGGTTGGTGAGCATTTAGGTTGTTTCCACGTTTTGGCATTTGTAAATTGAGCTGCAATAAACAGTCTATTGCAAATGTCCTTATGTTGAAACGATTTTTTTTCTTTGGGGTAGATACCTAATAATGGGATTTCAGAATCAAATGGGCAGTCTAATTTGAGTTCTTCAAGGATTCTCCAGATGTCCTTCCAAAAAGATTGTATTAGCCTGTGGTCCTAGCACTTGGGAGACTGAGTGGATTACCTGAGCTCATTGATTTGAGACCAGCCTGAGCCAGAGCGAAAACTTGTCTCTAAAAATAGCTGGGCGTTGTGTTGGGCACCTGTAGTCCCAGCTACTTGGAAGGCTGAGGCAAGAGAATCGCTTGAGCCCAAGAGTTGAGGTGGTTGCTGTGAGCTATGACATCACCGCACTCTACCAGGGTGACAAAGTGAGACTCTGTCTCAAAAAAAAAAAAGGCAGCAAAAAGGTTATATTAGTTTGCAGTCCCACCAACAGTATAAAAGTGTTTCTCTCTACATCCACACCAGCACCTGCAGCTTTGAGACTTTGTGATGTGGAATATTCTCAATGGAATTAGTGATATCTCTGGGTGGTTTTGTACTGATTCTTTTTTTTTTTTAATTAATTGGTAATTTAATTTAATTGGGGGCCACTGCTCTGAAAGGCAGTCAGCCTTAAAGTGGAGGGCAGGTTGTGTTTTATACTCTTTTTGCACAGCTAAGCATGCAGGCCAGTGTACTGATTCTTTTTTAATGTCTGCTCTTTAGATGTATGCTTTCAAAGATGGCTTAATGTAGATGAATTTTACAATTAGGAACTAGAAAAATTATCTAATTTAACATTTGGGCCCTTCTTTATCCTCCAGCACAGTGATTTATATATATAGTGTATGTTCAAAAACTGGTTTGGGCATAGAGATTTATTTATCAAATTCAGTCTTATTATATTGTAATAATACCTGCACTCAGGTTTAAAAACATCAACGCCATCAATTATATCAACTCATGGATGAGTTCAGTAGTGTTGTGTTGGTACTGCTAGTGTGATAGCCCTACCTCTCCTGTCCTGCTGCCCAGAGATTGCCACTTTCGTCTCTTCTGTTTATGTTTTCTGGGAATTAGCTGTGTGCATTTTCATGTGCTGGTCAGTGAAGGTGTGTGTTTGTGGGATATATTTGTCATCTAGCCTTTTAAGGTCCATGTGGATCCTGTGAAATGGACTATAAATGAGCTTTACACAGAAAGCTATAGGGTGTCCAACCTTTTTTCTGTTGACACATTGGAAAAATGTCTTGGGCTATACATTAAATACAGAAACACTAATGACAGCTGATGAGCATAAAAAAGGGATCCATGCATACTTTTCATGATATCCAACACCACAGATAAGCAAAACAGCCTTCAAATAATCTGCATGAACCCTACTGGCTATAGGTTGGACACTCCTGATTCTATAAAAATAAAAAAAAGATGGCCCTGGAAAAACCACAGACATGCTGAATTCTATTAAATATAGTGTAAAGTACTGTGAAATAGTCAACTTCAAATCAACAAATAACCTTTATGGTTTTTGTCTTTTTGTATATTAATTTGGTTCTATAGACTAATACATGAAGCTGACAGTTTTATGGAGAATATGTTTTTCCATTGAACTGCATTATTACCTCAGTGTTACATTCCTAAAGAAAAGAGTCTAGTATAAAAGTCTTTAAAATCCCTTTTTTTTTTTAGCAGTTTTTGGCCAAATCTCTATGCGCAAACCAGTTTTTAAACATACACTATATATAAATCACTGTGCTGGAGGATAAAGAAGGGCCCAAATGTTAAATTAGATAATTTTTCTCGTTCCTAATTGTATCCCTGTTCTGTAGAAATGAAGGTTTAACTGTATTTTTAATAGAGACACATCCTGAAAAAGTCAGATTACCAGGTGGTACTTGATAATTAGTACTCAAAACTCAAAAAGCTGGTGCCTATGGCTCAAGGAGTAGGGCGCTAGCTCCGTATGCCAGAGGTGGCAGGTTCAAACCCAGCCCTGGCCAAAAATAAATAAATAAATAAAACATAATTAAAAGAACTTTAAAAAAAAAAAAAAAACTCAAAAAGCCCAAACCATTCAGGCACATCTGTTAAATACAATTTTTGTTTGTACAGGATAGGAGATCACTGATGGTACAATAGTTTACATACAAGGAAAAATCTTCTAGAGATATCAGATTAGATATTTGAATTTAAGTTAACGATGATACATTAATTTTCACTTGAGCGTGATACTTATATAAAATGATCAGCTGATTATTTAAATTGTCATTCTTTAATTGTTCTTTGTAGAATTTTGGTTAATTATGAGGCCTATTCTAAACCTACCTTAAAGTTAATGTTTTACATAACTGAACAACTCTTCATATTGTTAGTATTGAAATCAAAATATGGAAACATTAAATATAGAACTGGCTCTGAGGCAGCAAGCATTATATAATAAATGTCAGCAGTTTTAATGAAATTGTAAGTAATGTTATTAATTTGAAATTTTTTAATGTATGTTGATTTTAATGTTAAGAGTAATAACCATTGGCTCAGCGTCTGTGGCTCAAGTGGCTAAGGCGCCAGCCACATACACCTAAGGTGGCGGGTTCGAATCCAGCCCAGGCCCACCAAACAACAATGATGGCTGCAACCAAAAAATAGCCGGTGTTGTGGCGGGCGCCTGTGGTCCCAGCTACTTGGGAGGCGGAGGCAGGAGACTTGCTTAAGCCCAGGAGTTGGAGGTTGCTGTAAGCTGTGATGCCACGGCACTCTACCCAGGGGGACAGCTTGAGGCTCTGTCTCAAAAAAAAAGAGTAATAACCATAAGCATTTATGCTAGCATGTTCTGTATATGTGGGTATTTAAGTAAGATAATTAAAACTATTTTAAGTGATTACTGAGGGTCACTAACGTTTTTTTTATTCCACATAAGAGAGCCCATAGTAGTTTCAGAAGGATGAGGAACCTACAGCTTCAGGGCCACAGTTGATCTCCCAAACATCATGAAACAAATCACTTTACTGAAATGATTTGTTGTATAAAATTTAGATTCAGTCAAGGGGTTCCAATGAGGGATCCAGAAGGCCACCAGTGACCTCCAAGGCTGCAAGTTCCCCAACCCTGTGGTAGTGCATACTTCTCATCAAGGTCGGTTTAGACTCAAAATTCTTGAGGTTTTAGTGAATTAAAACAATTTCCTAAAATAAGTCATCCTAGAACTACTATCAGGAGTGTCCCATCAATAGCCCACATGCTGAATGCTG